ATGGGGACTGCAGCCAAGAAATTAAAAGACACTTGCTCCTGGGGAGGAAAGCTATGGCAAATCTAGACAGCATACTAAAAAGCAGAGACATCACCCTGCCAAAAAAAGGGAGTATAGTCAAGGCTATGGATTTCCCATTTGCAATGAAAGGCTGTGAAAGCTGGACCATAAGGAAGGCTGAGCGCAAAAGGATTGAGGCCTTTGAATTGTCGTGCTGGAGGAGACTCCTGCGAGTCCCTTGGACTGCAAGGCGATCAAACCGGTCAGTCCTTAGAGGAGATCAACCCTGACTGCTCTTTAGAAGGCCAGATCCTGAAGATGAAACTCCAATACTTTGGCCACCTAATGAGAAGGAAGGACTCCCTGGAGAAGACCCTGATGCTGGGAACAGTTGATGGCAAAAGAAGGGGGCGGCAGAGAACGAGGTGGCCAGATGGAGTCACTGAAGCAGTCGGCATGAGCTTAAGTGGACTCCGGGGATGGTGGAGGGCAGGAAGGCCTGGAGGAATGTTGTCCATGGGGTCGCAATGGGTCGGACATGACTTTGCGACTAACAACAATGAAGTGTAGACCTACATGTACAAGTGTAGACCTAAGTGGGAGTAACCCCACTTAGCACAGCAGAGCGCACTTCTGAACAGACATGCATCAGATTGCATTATTATCATCTGCATATATTCATTGATGTTACAGAGGTGTTTGGCATGCTTACATCAGAAAGAAGGAGTGGTGCATTCAGACACTTATCTCAGGAGTGCTAACCTTCCCCTTTCTGGTAAGGAAAAAATAAAACCAATTAATACATTAGCAAACAGATATCCATTGCACGGAAGCATGTTCCCAGGGTAAGCCTTGCTTTCAGACCTTGCATAGCAAGTTACACAAGCAGCAGTTACTGGGGACCGCAAGCATCCGGCAAACAGAGACTCTATTGCTAAACTGGCCCAAGGTTAATGCCAAAGATGGCAAGTCACCGAACTGATGAATCTCCCACTATTGCCTGATCAAAGAACCATGTTTATTATTTGACTCGTCAAATATTCCAGCAGGACTGCCCCAATGCAGATCTATCTACATGTGAAAAACAGAACTGCATCATAGTGCCATCTGTTAACGGACCTACTTAAATGACTCAAGTGTTTTGCTTTGCTACATGCTAATGCCATCTGTTGGGAAAAAGATGCAACTAACCAACAGCTGAACATCTTGATTGGTTGGAACCTTCTGATACAAAGATTTTAATTGTTGGAATCTTTTCCAAAGTTTTGTGTATCTTTTTATAAAAGCGGTATCACATTATCAACTTGTTTAGCAGCTTATAAAAGACATTCAACAATTTTAGTCTCTCACCACCACAAAAGGCTTCTAAAACCTAATCCTTATGCACATGTACTTGGAAGTATGTCCCATTAAATTGAGACTTACTTCCAAGTAAACATGCGGAGGATCAGGCTGCTAGGCTGCCATTCTTCTAAACATCACATTATGTTCCATACAGCGTTCCCGATCAAAATATCTCCAAGCAGTTTGGCTTTTCCTAGGCATCATTACTCTATAAGCCAACAGCAGTCTGATGCA